GGGGGGGGGGGGGGCAGCAGATGTCAGACAAGTCCAGAAACCTCCAGGACCTCATTTCTTTATGGACTGGACTGTCCTGCCTCTTAGGAGGAAGGCAAAGGGCTGTGATCAAAGCAGAAACACCACCATCACCATCTCCATGGGTGCCTGGCCTGTGAGCCTGTGGCTGCCTTGCTTCCCCATCAGGATGCTTTCAGCTCCTTGTTCTGGGCAAGAGTGTGGACACTAATAAACCTCCTTGGAGCACATGCTCAGGACTGGACCTCTCTCATTTCCCAGGTGCCAGCCCAGCCTGTGTGGGGCTCAGACAGCTTGGGTTGTCCAGGAGGCTATGGGTTCCTGCTCTCCCTTCCACCTGGGCTGGAACGTATCCTGCAGAGGCTGACCTTGGCCTGGGCCATGTAGGCAAGAGATCTGTTTGTGTCAGAGACAGGATTGGAGTCTTAGGGTCTCATCTTCTGGGATGGCCCCAAAAGAGGCTCAGTGCAGCGGGTACCCTGAGGGACAGAGGTATCATAGAGGGACAGAGGCACCAGAGATCAATGGCTCCTAGTAACCACTGAGTGGCTCTGGGTAAGAAACATCACTATAAGCCTCAGCTTTCCCATAGAGGACCTTGGGAAAGGTCCCCTTTTATTTAGACAGCCTTAGACAATTTGTAAATTTCTTCTAGATTCTTCAAAGCCAGTCTTTGAGATGGGCAAGGAGAGTATATTCATCTGTGTTTAACAGATGCCAAGAGCTCAGAGAAGTGAAACAGCTTGCCTGGGGTCGGAGGGTAGTAAGTGTCAGTACTCAGACTAGAACATAGGTAGGCTGCTTGACTCCTGACCAGGTCCCCTCTGCCACATGCCTTTGGGTATAGTACAAAGTCCCGTGGCTCCTTGCCATCGTCAGGCCTAACCCAAGCATCCTACTCTCTGGCCCTGGCTTTGTTTTCCTCCAACAAATTCTGATGGTTCTCACTGATAAGGGGCTGACCAAAGAAATTACATCAGTCTCAGCATGATCCAAATTAAACTTTACACACTCTTGCCCAAATCTCCTCCCCTTAGATCACCTGTTCCTGATACTAGTTCCCTGGCTTTTCCAGTTAACCAGGTCTGAAAGTTTGGCAGTCATCGTGGACTCCATCATCACAATCACAATGGACACAGCTATCACCCTCAAAAGCTTCTCATGTTTCCCTTTCTCTCACCTCTCCCTAACCCCTCACCCTTGTCCACAGGCAACCCCTGATCTGCTTTCTGTCTCTGAAGATTTTCATTTTCAATAATTTTACATAAGTGAATCATATAGTATATATTATTTTGGGGGGTCTTATTTCTTTCACTTAGCATAATTATTTTGAGATCCATCCACATTATATCAAGTATTAGTAGTTTATTTTTTTATTGTGGTGTGGGGTATGAATATTGCACAACTGTTTATCCATTCACCTGTTGATGAACATTTGGGTTGTTTCCAGTGTTTGGATATGACAAATAAAGCAACTATGAACATGCATGTACAAGGTTTTCTGTGGACATGTGCTTTCATTTCTTCTGGATAAACACCTTCTTAACTTTTAAAGACACTGGCAAACTGTTTTCCATGCCCACTAGTACTGAATTAGAGTTCCAGTTGCTTCAGGTCTTTACCGATATGTGATACGGTTAGCCTTTTTAATTCTAGCCATTCTAGTAGGCATGTAGTGGCATCTCATCAGCATTCTATTTGCATTTCCCTAATTGTTTATTTGACATGAATCCCACATTCAGCTTTGATAAAATCTCTCAGCAAACTTGGAATAGAATGGAACATCATCTATCTGAAAAGACCTACAAAAACCTATAGCTAATAGCATACTTGATGGTGAAATATGAAAATGCATTTTCCCTAGGATTGGGAGTGAGGCAAAGATGTCTATTTTCATCACCTATTCAGCATTAAACTGGAGGTTCTAGTCAGTACAATAAGACAAGAAAAAAGAAATAAAAAGGCATCGAGATTGGGAAAGAAGTAAAGCCCTCCCACAATGACTGTTTTGATTTCTTTCACCATAGACTAGTTTTGCCTATTCTATAATTTCATATAAATGATTAATATTCAATTTTAAACTAAATTTACCATAACTTATTTTTTAGACCTAATTGGTTTGCAACTCACTTTCAATCCTTATATGAAACCTCAGCTTTCCCATCTTTAAATTTTTTATTTTAATTCCTCTCCAGACATTTGATGTGCCTTTGAATATATATTTTCAAAAATGGCATGTGGGTGATGTATTTTCTGAACAACTGTGAATGAGCGAATGACATTGTGTTACCTCTGCATGTAGACAATGACTTGGCTGGCTTAGGATTCATGACCTGGTTCCACTGTCTGTTTAATGTTGCAGAGTCTCAGGCCACCTTGACTTTTATTCCTTTGAAGGTAACCTCTTTTTTTCTGTCTCTGGATGCTTTTGGATTTTCTTTTTTTGCCTTCATTTTTTAAATTTAAATTTTGGCATTCTCCAAGGCAGAATGTGGAGAAAAAAGTTGGTGCTCATTGTTTCCTATAAATCATTATTGAGTAATGAGACAGAAATGTAAATGATCTTGGACATCTAACTGCCTGCTGCAACCTGCAGTAGTCACCTTGGGAGTTTGGGCTAAGACATTTCAGGGATCTTGCCGGTATCAAATGTCTTTGGAGATCCTCTTTGTTTTGAGGAGCTGGTCTCAGGGATGGCAAATTCCACACTCTGAAAGTAGATTTGGGTTTTGGAAGCAGTCAAGGGAAATTTGCTGCTAAATTCTGGTGAAGGGGACAGGGTGAGGGATGAAATTTTTTTTTTTCTAGAATAAATGGTATCTGTAATGTAACAACTCTAAATTTCCTCAAAGCCAATTCTTAGAGAGGAATTTTAAAAAGTTATCTTGCCTGGCTGGCGTGGTTCAGTGTTGACCCATGAACCAGAAGGTCACAGTTCAATTCCTGATCAGGGCACATGCCTGGGGTGCAGGCTTGATCCCCCGTGGGGGGTGTGCCGGAGGCAGCTGATCAATGACTCATCATTGATGTTTCTATTTCTCCCTCTCCCTTTCTCTCTCTGAAATCAATAAAAACATATTAAAAAAAATAAAAATAAAAAGGTTGTCTTATTATCCATGCCTCTGTGCCTTTGCAAATGCCATTCTCTCTGCCTAAAGGGCCCTTCCCAGTGGCTCGGACTTGGACCCTACATCTGGGCTTGGACGTTTCCCCTTCAGAGTGTCTCAGAGTGTGTGCTTTCTTACTCCTCCATCACCTTGTGAGCATTTCAGGAAAGGGTTTTTGTTTTCCTGGCACATAATTAGTCTCAATAAATGGAGAAATGGAAAAATTTTGTATTAGGAAATGGTAGGGCCTCCCAAGCTTTCTGTCTTGGAGTAGTCAACATTCATTCATCTGGACGTGTACAGTTATGGTGTGTCTGAAGCAACAACAGACTGACTCCTGTTGAGTTACTTGTTTATGTGCAGTAGTGTGTTGCTAAATGCTAAATGATCAGCTCTCTGGGAAAAAAGAAAACCCTGATATTTAGTGTTTGACTATTTCTCTTGTGTAAATACTCCCACTATAGATCATTTCAAGCTACCAATGTGAGGCCAACTGGCTAGCCAAATTACTGAACACTTAAAAATTGGCTCTTGGCCCTGCCGGGCGTCGCTCAGCGGTTGAGCGTCGACCTAGGATCCAGGCGATCGGGGTTCGATTCCCGGTCAGGGCACATGCCCGGGTTGTGGGCTCGATCAATGACTCTGTCATCATTGATGTTTCCAGCTCTCTCTCTCTCCTTTCCTCTCTCTGAAATCAATAAAGATATATTAAAAAAAAAAAAAAAATTGGCTCTTGCAAGCTGGCTCCCATACACTACTGCAAAAATTCTACCCCTCTTGTTTTTCCACTATTACCAGTTCATTTGGGTGGCCCTTTTGCTGTTTTTACAGCACACATCCAGGTATTGTACAATTTATCCCTTGCATCAGTCTAATCGTTACTCATCCCCATTTTCCAGCAAGTAAAATGAGGCCCAGAGACTATGGGACTTCTCCAAGGCGGCCAAGCTTTCCTGTCTATTCCTGGGTTCATTTCCTCTGGAGCTCACTGGCAGACCACGAGGGGCTAAAGAGTTGTGTGCTTTGCCCAGTTCTGTTTGCTGGTGTTCAGGTGAGGCTGCCTGGACCCAAGGACCCTGAACTTAGCCTGGGGCATCCCCACTGGTCTGCAGCTGAGCTGTGACAAATGGTGGCCTTTGCCATGTTGCCTTGTGACCTGGGCAGGGGACTGGGAATTTAGCAACTTTTATTATATGGGCATCAGTGGCTATGATTTTCGTGGCCTAATTCAGGATCTGGACAGTGCCTCGTCTGACAGCCAAGTGAAGGGCTGAGTCCCTCTTCACAGTTTTGGGGGTTTAACCTTTTTCTTTCAGGTGAGTCCAAGGGGTAGCCAGCCAAAGCTGCGTCCTGGGGAGCCCAAGCTGAGGGCAGCGAGGGCGCCGCCAGGAGGTGAGAGGTGGACCTGCTGCCTGCTGGCTGCATGGTTTTGCCTTAAATGGCTTCCCCGTTCAAGGCACGTGGAAGGCCTGTGTTAGGGACTTTGTAAGGCTTTCTGAGAGGTCACATGATATGTGACGCCACAGAAAGCAAGCATTGTAAAGGGCCTCAGTGATCTAGCTCCAAATCCCTCATTTATAGATGAGGAAACAGGCCGAGTGCGGGGAAGTGGTTTGCTCAAGCTTCTACCTCGATCGGTAGGTGGCAATGCCAGGACTAGGCCCCAGGGCTCCTGACTCCCCACCCAGGGCTCATCCCGCCCCTGCCCTTCGTGTCCCTGAGAGAACGTGAGCCTTACCCTTTATTGGAGGGTGGCAGAGAAGGCCCAGCTTGAGCCCTCGGGACCTTGGCCTGGTTCCCTGCTTCCTGGGTTTTTCCAGACTTCTCTGAGGAGGTCATGCCACCTGTCCATGCCACCTGGCATGTCCTGTTTAGGAGAACCAAGGTGTACCAGGATGAGGAGGCCACAGAGACCACTTCCCAGAAGGGGACAATCCTGGTGCCCAGGGAGACGGGGAAGGGAGACGGGGTGTAGACTTAGACCTGCTGTTTCTGAGAAGCTGGGCTGGGATTCCAGAGGTGGAGGGCCCTGCCCTGCACCATGGCCCTTTCCACTGGGGCATTTTGAAAGTGTCTGCTAAGTGGGGACATTCCCAGTAATGTCCTTCTGTCATGATAGCTCTAGTGAATTTCCGGGCACGTCCAGACCTGAGCTAGTGGCGGTTTTGGCACCTTGGGTCTCCTGCTGCAGCAGCTGGCTGTCCTGCAGGATGGTTGGAGGCCTCAGGACAGCTGGCCTGGCTGGCATTGTTCTAGCGTATCCGGGATGTTCCAGGAACCATGCGGTAAATCCTGTTGAGTATTGGCCAAGGGAGCCAGGAAGGGCAGGGAGCCGAGGCCTTGGCAGAGTCATTCTTATCACCTGCCCTCCTGCAGGGACCACCAGGGGAGGAGGGGCTGCCCTTGGTCAGGAGGAAAGGTCGTGGGGAGGACAGTAACGCACTTTACCGTCTACCACGCGTTTTCACGCATACTCATTTCACTCTCGCAGTAGCCCTATTATTGTTACCATTTTAAACTGAAGAAATGGGGACACAGAAAGGTGAAATGACTTTGCCCAGCACGCTTCGTATAGTCAGGTTTGAATCTCATCTGTCATTATCTACCTGTGGGAACTTGAGCAAATTAGCTCACTTTCTGAGCCTTGATTCCTACCTGTAAAACGGGGGCCTCGCTACTCACTGTACAGGGCTGTTTGGCAGCACAGTGCTTGCCTCCAGGAGCTCAGCCACTGTGACGTTCTCCTTTCCCAGAAACAGTGGAGTGGGGCCTGGAATTGAACTTCTATTCCATTTTCAGTGTCCCCTCTCCCCACTTACGTTTGGTATGTGTGAGATAAGCTTAGTATTTTTGGAAAAGGAACTCTTATTAAGCAATAAAGGGGCCCGGCCGGGTGTGGCTCAGTGGTTGAGCCTCGACCTAGGATCCAGGAGATCGCGTGTTCGATTTCCAGTCAGGGCACATGCCCGGATTGTGGGCCCGATCCCCAGCAGGGGGCGTGCAGGAGGCAGCTGACCAATGACAGCTCTCATCATTGATGTTTCTATCTCTTTCTCTCCCTCTCCCTTCCTCTCTCTGAAATCAATAAAGATATATCTTTTAAAAAAGAAAAGAAATAAAGGGAAACAGAACTACTGAAATGAACGTGAACAAAGGGCAGAGTGCTGACGCCTAGTCTGAGTAATGCTGAGGCTCAGGCTGGCTTTCATGGGGCTCACCCTTACCTACCAGCATGTCTGGCTGGTCTAGACTTGCACAGGCCCCCCCTGGCAGGTCCTCAGGGTCCTTGGGCCCTCCTGGAAGCTTCTCCTGCCTGCTCTGAGAGTGGGCTTTAAAGATAGGCTCGCTGATGGATGGTCTGAGCCTACCTGGGACTGGGAGGGGCTGG